GATGTAGATGCAAAACTTAAACTGAGCCGCTACCGCTTAACCCCTACATAGTTAACTGGTAACGCAGTTTTTTGCATGAACAACAAAAGCGTGTTTCATCTAGTAACCGTGTTTGTACTTGGATGGTAGTCAATAAGGGAATGACTCAGGGAAGTGTCAGCGGCCTTTACCTTTTTAATGTTTTATTGATGATGTAAATATTTTTCATAATGATGTTCCTGCTCTTTTTAAATGTGCAGACAACTCCACTGTCATAGCTCCTGTAAGCAGTATTTCTGATCCCTCTGACTGTTTAGTAGAACTATTTTTGAAGTGGACCAGAGAAAACAATATGATTTGTAACCCTGGCAAATGCAAGGAAATCACTGTTAGGAAGAAAAGCAAAAACATGCAATATGAGCAGATTTGCAATATTCCACAGTGTAACAGTCTGTCGTTACGAGGTGTTACTCTTCAAAGTAGCTGCAAGTTCAGTGAACATGTAAGACTGAAATTAGTCAAAGCAAACAGATTGTTGCATGTTCTTAAGTCTCTTGGAAAGGAGCACTACTCTCCAGCAAAGATAGACCATTTATTTAAATCCTTAGTTATGCCGAACTTTACATACTGCCTTTCTGTGTATGGAGCATCAGAATCTGATTTAAATACTACACAATCTTTTTTTCGATCATTGCCATAAGCACCACTTTGATTTTTCTCCTATTTCAATTAAGTTGTATTTTCCACTGGCTGAGGAACGAAATAAGTGGAAAATGTTTTTTTCACACACCTCTGGGGCCTGGGCCCAAGGGTTTGTTTTTAAGTCACGTGCTCAGTGTATTCTATCAGTTGCAGTTTTGCTGTCCGCTGTTGCTGACATGTCCTTTTGAGCTTAAGAGTTTTTTCAAAGTTTTCATAGCCTCTACCGTTGTTGTTGTTGTTTTTTTTGTTTTGTGTTACCATGAGTGCTATGATGACTAGGTCAAAGTCTCAATCAAGAACAGTAAATCGCCTCCAGGCTCATAATAGGAGCCCAGAGGTAGAGCGCCAATCTCATAGTCATGGTTCTCGCCGTTCGCAAGGTCGGAGCCCAGTAGTGGAGCACATTCGTGATCAGACAGCTAGAGGACCATTGCAGTCTTCTGATAATCCCACGGACTGGGCTAAAGAGCTGCTTTCGCAGCAAAAGGAGTACGGAAAGGAGCTTAAACAATTGAAAGCAGAACTTGCTTCAAAACCAAACAAGGCGGGAAAGCACGAGGACACCGAACCCAAATTCAAATTCGAGGGTAATAAAAATCAATACCAACTAAAAAAGAAGGTGCTCAACTGAGAAAATCACAATGGTGAAAGATGTAGGGGATGATGACTTAAGGATCGAGCTTTTGGAGGAAGGTGAGCAGTTATTGATAGAACATAACAAACACATTTGTATCGCAGAAAAGTACGGTTGGGATACCGTAGATTGCTACACCACTGATCCCATCACGAGTGACTCGGATGACGAAAAGAAGATTAAAAAAGCAGTCAAAGAGTGCAAGTTGTTACAGGAGGAAAAACGTAAAGCAAAGTTGTTGAAGTCCAAACGGCCAATGCCAGTGTACAAGAGTTTTACCAAGCCTACCCCTCACAGTTTTGTGACATTGAGCAGTACTGCCAAATAAGGTGGTGAGCACATGCGTGTGGAAAAAAGAACAAGAAGGTTGTGAGAGCGCGAGTTTAGGAAAAGTTTTTCCGTCTAATTTAGTGAGAGTTTCGTTAATTAGATTGAAGCGGAATAAACCAGGAAATTGTGTTATCGTGAGCTCTATGGGCTGTTTTATTGTTCAGCTCATTTTTGCCGCCGCAACCAGGATACGTTGAGGGAATACACAACGGGAACGAGACAGTTGGAGAATCGAAAGTGATCCTTTCGATTCTCCAAAAAAAAACATGAGTGACAGCGAAGTACCGAGCGACAAAAAACAACGTCTTATAAAAGAGATCAACAAAGAAATTGATAAAGTCAAGTACTTCATGGAGGAGATAAAGGAACTGATCGAAATTCAGGATTATTCGGAGATGGAAATAGTCAACAAACGAGCTGTGAAAATCATTGCAAAGTTGTCGGATCTTATTTCACAAACAGAAGAATTAAAAATTGAGCGAGGAATGTCGCCACGCACCGTGAGGCAGTGGAGAAAAGACATTAAATCAAAGTATGCAGCATCTGTCAGCAAAAACGAGAGGCTTAGAAAGTGTTTGGATGATAGAGATGAAGAAATTACACAACAAAATGAAGAATTGAAGCGGGAGCAATAGTTGAAAGATGAGCGGCGATTCTACTTGTTACATGAAAGACAACAAGAGCATGAGTGTGAATTGTGGAAGGAAAAGCTTGAAGCTGAATTACGAGTGGCAGAAAAGAAACTAGAAATGGAGAAAACAGCCGTTTCCAGCACCGCAAAGTTATCGAAATTAAAGATAACACCTTTTAAGGGTACTGCTGGCGATTGGATAAGATTTGAAAACATGTTTCTGACGCAAGTTGATGCGAAATCAATTTCTGATGAGGAGAAATTCGGGTATCTTCTAGAATCCATTAGCCCGAAGATGAGAGACAGAATTGCAAATTTAGAACCTGGAACTATTGGTAAAAAGACAGTGTGGGAATCAACTAAAGAAAGAAAATGGGCAAACAAAGGTTGTCACGCATGCACATAGGAGGAAATCATCAATTTATTTCCAGTCAAGGGGTCTAATTATTTCAAGGTGCAAGAATTCTACGAAAAACTGAGTAGCAATTATGACGCCCTTCAAACCCTCGAAGAACGCCAACGGTTACAAGGGTTTGTTATGACCACACTCAACAAGTTACCTCAGGTAAAGCCAGATCTAGTGAGAGTGGATGAAAGTTGGGAGGAATGGTCCATGGAAGACCTGGTTGATGCTCTGCAGAAATGGCTTAGGAGAAATCACGTCGAAGGTGGCAAATGCGAAAAAACATCTGTTCTCACAGAAGCATGGAGATAAGCCATTACCCTATTGCCTTTTCTGCCGAAAACAAGAACACTGGAGTGAGGACTGTACCCTAGTAACAGCAATAGAGAACAGGAAGAAGTTCTTCGTAGATCACAAGCTATGCTTTAATTGTGGAAGGCAAAATCACAGAGCAGACCAGTGCCGTAGGCGTGGCTGTGCCAAGTGTAAACACAAACACCACAGAAGCATATATGATAGACCGGATAGGGAAGGCAGTAATCCAGATGGAGTGTAACTGACAGTCTAGTCCAATTATGCAGAGTAGTAAGTGCTACCGGCGATTATTCCCGTCAGTATTGGGGGACAAGTGCTTTGGGCCCACCTAAATACAGGATTCGGACACAGTTTCATTTCACGTGAGGCAGTCAAGTTAGTAAAGTTGAAACCGACAGGTCACGAGGCTCGCGAAATCTTGACAGTCAATGGAACCAAAGTCCAGACAATGCCAATCTTTGACACCCATATTACGTCCCTGGACGGAAAATCATGCAAAACGGTGGAATTCAATGGATCGAAGTTAGCTTATTTTACCACAGTGAGAAGGCCAGACATGAATCAGCTAAAGTTGAAGTACTCACATACACAAGACAAGCGGTTCTACATGACGTCCACAGGAGAACATCAGTTACGCCTCATTCTCAGAGATGGTGTTTATAGCAGAATAAGGACAGAGAGGGTATTGAAAGGACACCCGGGAGAGCCACTGGCAGAGGAGACAACCTTCGGTTGGGTGGTCCATGGGGGAGACGAATATGAGAGTGGAAGTAGCTGCATGTACATTAGAGAGGTTAATGACTATAATAAACTGTATAGTTTGGATGTACAGGGAGTCGAGGACCGGGGAGAGAACGGTCAGCTAGATGTTCTGCGTGACTTTAAAGAGGGTGTTGTCAGAAGGCATGATGGAATGTATGAGGTTGGTTTTCCTTGGATACCGGGACCTACATTAACGAACACAAATGAAGCACTTAGCAGAAAGCGGCTCAAAAACGTGGAGAGAAAGCTGTCAAGAGATAAGAAACTGAAAGGAGAGTATGGCGGCATTATTGAAGAGCAACTCAGAGCTGGGGTGATCGAGGAAGCACCTCAGATTCCGTCTGGAAAACATGTATTCTACATGCCTCACAAGCCAATTGTAAAGCAGAGTGCAGTTACAACTAAGGTTTGCATGGTGTTTGACGCAAGTGCTAAGCCCCAGCCTTTGACTTACAGCATCAATGATTGCATGTTCACTGCTCCTCCATAGCAGCCACTTCTTTGGGACACAATGGTTAGAGTGCAAATGTCCGCAAGTCTGCTCTCCTTGGAGTCATAGCAAAGGCGTTTTTTCAGATAGGTCTGAAAGAGGAGGATAGAGATGCCGTCAGATTCTACTTCAACATCAAAGGAATAGAGAAACATTTAAGATTTACACGTGTACCCTTCGGGGTTGAAGCAAGCCCTTTCCTACTAGGAGCAACTGTGCAGCATCACTTTGAACAACAAGGGTCCGAATTTGAAGAGACAGTGAGAGCACTTAAGGAGAACACTTATGTTGACAATCTCATGCAAACCGGAGGAAATGTAGAGAAACTTGTGTGGTTCAAAGAAGAGAGTACTGCCATACTTGAGTCTGCCAGGTTTCCAGTGCACAAGTGGGAATCCAATGTTAAGGTTCATGAAAGTGAAGGCATGCCAAATCCAAGCAAGATCCTTGGACATGTATGGAATAAGGATGATGACACACTAGAGCTGCTTGCAAAGCCTTTTCCACAAGAACATCCAGTGACCAAGCACACTATACTCAGTTACCTGGGAACTGTCTATGACCCACTTGGGATAATCTCGCCCACCATGGCTAAGGGAAACCATATTTACCAAGAAGCCTGCAATGAGAAGAAAAGCTGGAATGCAGAGGTTTCCTCCAGATTGAAGAACCAATGGTTAAGGTGGACGAAGCAACTCAAAGATGTAAGGGTGCCTAGAAGTATTGCTTTATTTGTCGGAGAGATAGGTGCAGTCCATTTACATTTTTTCGCAGATGCCAGCATCCTAGCATGCTGCGCAGCAGCTGTTGCGGCGGTAAAACATGAGGCAGGCGTGACCAAAGGACTTCTGACCTCGAAGTCGCGGATATCAAAGAGAAGTACATCGATAGCAAGACTGGAGCTCATGAGTGGCCACATGGCAGTAAACATGGCGAAGAACCTCAGCATGGCTATCCAGTGTTGGCTCATCTAAACCATCAACATTTGGATGGACAGCATGGTAGCACCATATTGGATAACTAATCCCAGGAGAGGATGGAAGGTGTTTGTGTCAAACAGAGTAAAGAAGATACCAAAAACTGCGGGTCCAATCAACATCACTTGGAAGTACTGCCCATCAGAGTTGAATGTAGCTGACCTTGGAAGTAGAGGGGCAACCATTGTGAAGATGGAGAGAGGAAACTGGTTTGATGGTCCAGATTGCCTCTTGGACAAAAGGTGGTGGCCAGAGCAGCCAAGGCTGAATAGCACCAAAGAAACAGATGAAGAGAGTAAGGTGACCCAAGAAGTAGTCCTTTGCACACAAGAGCGCATGATCGATGAGTGGGATGCTTTGTTAGAAAGAAGCACCTACTGGCATACAATGAGAGTAACAGCATGGGTGTTACGTTTTATCAGAAACTGCAAGGTAAGAAGTAGGTCAAAGAAGATGTCAGGTCCATTACTTAGGGAAGAAATCACAACTGCAAGTGACTACTAGGTGCAGCAAATTCAGAAAGTAGACAAAACATGTCTGAAGTCCCCAGGATGGAAGTTGGTCAAAGATGACTGTACAGGAGTTCTCAGGTGTGAAGGCAGAATTAAAGGATATAAGCCAATTTACCTTCCTAATGGTGTATTTGTGGAGAAGCTCATCCTTCACATCCACAACCAGGTCATGCATCTTGGTGTCGCAAACATGATGGCAAGAATGAGAGAAAATTGGTGGATACCAAAGTTGAGAGCGAAAGTGAAGGTCATTAAGAACTGCAACATCTGTATAGTGTTCTCCACCAAACCTTATGGAGTGCCAGCAACTAGCACTTTGCCACAATATAGAACTGAGGGGAGGAGACCGTATGAAGTAACCGGAGTGGACTTTGCCGGACCCTTCCTTAAAAGGTCAGTAAGAAAGAACAAGGAAAGTGCTATATCATTATTTTCACCTGTGCCAGCTCTAGAGTGGTTCATTTGGAAGTTGCAAGAACCCAAATGGCAGATGAATTCAAGAGTAAGCTGAATGCCTTTATCTTGCGACGAACAAGACCTCGCATCATCATCTCAAATAATGCCAAAACTTTTAAGGCCACAGCAGATTTGATCAAGACGGTGCGGAGAAGTGAGAAGTTGCAGAATTATTTAGCATGTGAGAACATTCGCTGGCAGTTCAATCTTGCAAAGTCACCCTGGTGGGGAGCTATCTATGAGAGATTGATTAAGGAGATAAAGAAGACCTTGCATAAGACTTTGGGGAGGTCACATCTTTCATATGAAGCATTTCAATCAGTCATCATGGACATCGAAAGGAATTTGAATAATCGCCCTTTGACATATGTTGAAGCAGAGAGAGAGGAAGAGGCGGTACTTACACCGAACATGATCCTGTGGGGACGAGACGTGTATGCTGTAGAAGAAACTGAAGGCTCAGTTGCAGAGAAGCTAACAAGGATGGCCAAACGATTGGAAAATGCTGAGACCAATGCATGGAAACGCTGGAAAAGGAGTATGTTCACAGCCTAATGGAGAGTCACAGGCTCAACATGGTAACGGGAACTATACCTCAAGTCGGAGAAACTGTACTCATCACTGGAGACGAAAAGAACTGCGGAAAATGAGAAAAAGGTAAAGTGGTGCGTCTTATCAAAGGCAAAGATGATGTCGTCAGAGGGGTAACTTTGTTACACAAAGGGCACATTATTGACCGACCGCTTCAGTTACTTTGTCCCTTGGAAATTAGAGTGGTGGAGGATGTTGATCATTCTCAAAAGGGGAGAAGAGATCGACTTGAAGAGATCGAGTTGATGTAGGAGAACGGAGACCAGGACGAGCTGCAGCTCAGAGGGCTACTGAGAGAATAGCAGAACAATTGTAAGAAGAAGAGAGTTGATAAACTGAACTGTGTTCGAGTATAAACCAGACTGTTATGTCGCGAATCGGATTAGTTTCATGTTGCATTTGATTGTAAAAATTGTGTGCTGCAGTTTTTAGGGGAGTTGTGTACGAGAGTTTTACCAAGCCTACCCCTCACAGTTTTGTGACGTTGAGCAGTACTACCAAATAAGGTGGTCAGCACATGCGTGTGGAAAAAAGAACAAGGTTGTGAGAGCGCGAGTTTATGAAAAGTTTTTCCATCGAATTTAGTGAGAGTTTCGTGATTTAGATTGAAGCGGAATAAACCAGGAAATTGTGTTATTGTGACCTCTATGGGCTGTTTTATTGTTCGGCTCACCAGCACAGCGCTGAGTGGAGAGCCATGTAATTTTGGAGAAACCGTCATTGAGTTCAATGGCGGGAAAAGTGCCAACTGTCCCAGTTACGCGTGACTCTCCTACTTGTTTTCACTGTTTTCACCCTGGACACCTCGCTCGTGACTGTCGAGTAGCTGCCAGAAACAACGGATCAGGACAATCCCATTCCTCTGGGCTCGCATCAAGTAATTGATGCGGATACGGAACAATGTTTGGACTTGATGTTGAATAATTTTCAGGACGTGCATCAATTAATGGAGTTACAGGATTTGGAACCAGTATCTTTGGTACAGGTTAAAGGTAGACTTAAGGAGAACATTGCTTTTCGGAAGGACATTGGGGCATCTAAATGAGTGCCAAGTATTATAGAGAATGGTTATTATTTACCTTTTATATCTCTTCCAGCTCGGAGGAATTTTCAGAGTCATCCTAGTGTTAATCAAAACCAGGAATTTGTGTGCCAAGAACTTAAGAAACTTTTAGCCCCTGGTGCAGTGGTGGAAGTGAGGCAAGAGGACGCATTGGTTGTTAATCCATTGGAGGTTGTGAATAATGCAAGTGGCAAGTCACGGTGTTAATTTTGGATTTGTGTTATGTTAATAATCATTTGAGATCCAGTAAGTTTAAATATGAGGGTATCCCAGCAGCTTCGGAGCTGTTCCAGAAAGATGACTGGGTGTTTACGTTTGACTATAAAAGTGGTTATCACCATCTGGACATATTTGTGGGTCATACTGCTTTTCTTGGATGCTCATTTCAGCTGGAAGGAAAACTTCGGCATTTTAAATTTACAGCTCTCCCTTTTGGCTTGGCAACTGGGCCTTATCTGTTTACTTAAATCCAGAGAACTTTAGTCAAGCATTGGAGAAGCAGAGGATTTCGTATTTTTACGTACCTGGATGATGGCATTGGTCGTGAGCAGGGATTTGCTGAGGCTTGCAGTATTTCGCAGTCTGTCAGGAAGGGTGTGAGATTCAGTGGCTTTGTGGCCAACGAGGAAAAGAGTGTGTGGCTGCCCTCTCAATGTGTGGAGCTACTGGGATTTACTGTGGACCTTAAAGTGGCTACTTTTCATTTTCCTCCCCCCAGAGAGGATGCTTTGAAGCAATTGCTTGATTTTATTATTGCTAAGGATTTTTGTATATCCGCGAGGACTTTGTTTCGCTTGACAGGCTCCCTGGTTTCTGTGTCTCTCGCCATGGGTCCAGTTGTACGTCTTTGGATGAGAGCAATGTACAGAGACATTTGCCTAGACCCTCATTGGAATCAACCTATATGTTTGTCTTCTGACAGCTGCTTGGAGGTGCTTTTTTGGAAACAGAACTTTGACAATAGTGGGTATCCAATTTGGGCACCTAGCCCAAAAATCGAGGTTTTATCATATTCAGATGCTAGCGGTCTCGGTTGGGGAGGATTTGCTTTTCACATCAATGGTAAACCAGCTGTGGGAGGCTGCTCGGAGGACTAGAGTGGCAGGAGCTCTACATTCTGTGAGTTAAGAGCCATACGGTACGTGTTGGAGTCATACAGTTATGACCTTCAAGGGAAAGAGGTGTGTCATAGGACTCACAACAGGAATGCAGAGATCATAATGTCTGTTGGTAGTCGAATACCAGACCTTAAAAGGGAGGCGGTGTTGGTTTACAAACTTTGTCGTGAATTGAACAGTCAGCTATCTGTGGAGTGGGTCAGTAGGGATGATAATAGTATTGCTCATGCGCTTTCAAGAGTGGAGGATGCTACTGACTACATGCTGGATCCCAAGTGCTCTCGTTATATTGACCGTTTATGGGGACCTCATACTGTCGACAGATTTGCCAGCATTAAAACCAAACAGCTGGTCAGGTATTGCAGTCGATACTGCAATCCTGGTTGTGAGGCTAGTAACGCATTTACAGTTTCGTGGTCACAGGATAACAATTGGATTTTTCCACCTCCCTGCTTATTCCAAGGGTTCTGCGACATATTTCTGCTGGCCATGAGTATGGCACACTGATTGCTCTGGAGTGGCCTTCTGCCTTGTGGTGGCTTCTTCTTGTTGACTGGTCTGGAACCTGGAAAATCTTTATAAAAGACTTTTTTGAGAATTGAACCTTACCAGGGAATCTTATTCTTGGGGTCTGCAGCCAGCAGCATTTTTACTTCTGGAATTCCATAATTTGCTGTTTTAGTCTTTAAGATTTGTTTTGATGATCTGGTGGAAAGTACCTGATATTGCCGTTCTCTGGCATTACTCTGGTAAAGGCTTGGGGTGCACCCCTATGCTGGTCAAGTATGGGGTATACATTTGTAGTGACATACTACGCTGTTAGGGCAAATCACTGATGCTGTTATAGCAATCACTCGAATCCATCGGATGCTGTTATGGCAATTACTCTAGTATGGGGTATACATTTGTAGTGATGCAGTATCCTGTTAGGGCAAATCACTGATGCTGTTATGGCAATCACTTGTGTCGATCAGATGCTGTTATGGCAACTACTTGTGTTGATCGAATGCTGTTATGGCAATCAATTGTGTCGATCAGATGCTGTTATGGCATGTTAAGGCTTTTCTAGTGACAGGTGCTGTTAGGACATGTCTCTAAGTTGTTATGGCTAACTTCTCTGCAGTTAGGCCTTCAGGTGCCCGTGATATGGAATGCAATAAATGAACAAGTCAAAACTGGTTCTCTTTCAAAATTTAAATTAAGTCTAAAGGAACAATATCTTTCAGTATATTGATGACATTAAATTAAAATATTGCT